TAGGGAAGGAAACTGCCATCCTTACCTGGTCTGGTCTGCATGTGATTCCAGACCCACAGCAATGTGGTTGACTCTTAACTGCCCTCTGGGCAATTAGGGATGGGCATTAAATGCTGGTCTAGCTCAGTGATGCCCTTATTTTGTGAATACAAAAAAAAATTGCTTCAGCCTTTGACCAAGGATAACCAACTCAACTGTTCTAGCCTATCCACACAACTGTAATTTTTCATTTCTGACATTGTTCCAGTGAATCCCTCCTATATCATCTTCAAAGCTTCAAGTCTTTCCTAAAGGATAGCGCCCAAACTTTTGCACAATACTCCACTTGGGCTGAAAGTGTGTGTGTGTGTGTGTGTGTGTGTCACGCTGCCTCATTTATGAAACTCAGAATGCAGTATAGTTTATTAATTGCTGTTTAGCCTGCCCTGATACTTTCAAAGATTTCTTGTTATGGACGAGACCCAGACCACTTCAAAATATTTTAAGAAGGTAGCCTAGACCCAACTTTTTCTTATTTTAAAGGCAACTGTAAAGGGCTGTGTTCCAGATGCAATTCGACTGGTCAAACTCCTCGACATTAAGCAAAGCACAATTTATTCAAACGCTATAGCTAAAAATGCACCAAAAGAAAGAAGAACTTAGAATAACTTACCTCTATTGGAAGATTAACAGAATAATAGATATAGTAACTACTAACTTGAACTTTTAACTAACTTTTCCAATATAGCAACTTCCCACAAGAAACAGCTTGGCAAAATTCAGAAAACAGATTTGTGTCATAGGTAATCCCAGCAACCCAGAAAGAAAAACATCAAGAGAAAACTCAGAGTAGCAGCCAGGAGACATTTACTGCAACTTCCAATCCTGTTGAGAGTCCAGCAGTAATTGACGCTGAATCTTAAAGCTTAAAAAATAAACTAGAAATCCTGGTCTATGAGGGCTGGCCACACTCATCCAGGCTGCTTCTATTGATCCAACTGTTTTTTAAAAAAAAAAACAACCCATCGCCTCCAAACTGTTTACTTTAGGGCCTTCACTAGTTAGTTCATCTCCTTTCTGTTAAAACTTCTCTTCAAACAAAAACAAGGACAAAGTACAGCTGTTAAAGCCATAGCATCATCACATTCTGCACAAACATTTCCAGGGATTTGTTATTGAACCTCTGCTAAAATTATGCCATTTAGCTTGTGTTCTTACCAGAACCCATTCTTCTTACCAGAATCTTGTATTCTCACATTTGCATTGAATTTCTGACACCTGCACGTCCACCCCATTAGCCTCTATATCCTCTTATATAATGATTCATTAATATATTTCACACTATTTACACTTTGGGGTTTTGACATTTACAAGCTGAAATTATGCCTTGTGCCGCGGGTCCAACTCATTAATATAGTTTAACAACAGTTGAGGTCTTGTTATGTACAGTAGTGAATTCCACTGTTTATTCCATTCCATCCAATCTGAAAACTCTCATTTGTTGCAATAAGTTTTCTATCTTTTACTCAATTCTGTGATCTATGTTGCTGTTGTTCCTTTTATCCCATGGCCTTCAATTTTATTAACAATCCTGAAATGAAATTTTATAAAATGCATTTTGAAAGGCCTCTTGCCCTTCAAGTCTGCTCTGCCATTCTGTAAGGTCATGGATGATCTGATTCAACTCTATATTCTTGCATACCTCTGATAATCTTTCATCCCTTGGTAATCAAGAATGTAGCTGCCTCTGCCATTTTAAAAAAAAATTAAACTTTCTGCATCAGCAGACTTTTGAGGAAGGGAACTCCAAAGAAACACTAAATCCTCTGAGAAAAATATAGTTTCCTCATTTCTGGCTTGAATGTGTGCCTCCTTATTTTTAAACTGTGACCGTCGTTCTAGATTCCCTCACAAGAGAAAACATCCTTTTGATGTCCACCGGTTCTAGTCCCGTCAGGCTGTCATATGTTTTAATCAAGTCACCTCTGACTCTTCTAAACTCCAGAGGCTATGGGCCTAACCTGTCTTGGCTTTTCCCAACACTCACACTTGGATTAAATTATCCTTCTCCCCTTTTTAGAACAAGGGTTCAGCAAGTGTAGAAGAGCATCAGGGTGCTGGAAAATGAGCTATCCGAGTGATGAAGCTAAACCATATTCATTCTAAACAGAGTAAGCAGCATTCTATAAACGCTGAAGGGATTCCACAGCACTGCATCAAGTCAAAGCTCCACAACTCCATCACCCAGTTGTGAATCTTTCTGGACAATTAAACAATTAAATGAAGTCACATCTTTGGACTGTGGGAGAAAACCGGAGTACCTGGAGCAAACCCATGCAGATGTGGGGAGAATGTGCAAACTCCATACAGTCACCAGAGGGTGGAATTGAACCTGGGGCCCTGGCGCTGTGAGACAACAGTGCTAACCAGTGAACCACCATGCCACTCTGTCTGCTTTTTCCATTCACTCTCCTTTTTAAAAAATACCTTGATGAAATTCATCCTTAACTGTCTTTGTTCTAATGAAAACCAACACTTGACCATAAATTCAAATCAGTAATTCTTTTGTTGAGTGTCTGTATGTATAAAAATAAAGAAAGCTATATGGAAAGTTTAAAATAATTTAATTTAAAATAAATGAAAAGTTTACTCTTATGGAAGTTTTAACATAATGTGAATGGTCTTAAATTATTTTTTTTCTGTACTTCAGTTGGACTTGATGCTGCTGGTAAAACAACAATTCTGTATAAGCTGAAGTTGGGCGAGGTCGTCACCACTATTCCAACAATTGGTATGTTTCTTAGTAGTTTCCATTTTTGGTGCAAGCTCAAAACATTAATTGCCTTTATCCAGTTACTTTAACTATGCTTGTAAGGCAAGGTGAGCTAGTCTTTCTCCACCATTTGCACGGCTAGGAGATGAGCAAGAGGAGTTATCCCTTGAAGTGATAAACTTTATGCTCAATGTCTATGAATTGCATTAGTATAAAGCATTAGAAATATATCCTTCACAGTGTGATTAGACACTGAACTGAGGAGAGATATTGATAGTGATGATCAAATGCTGAGTTAGGATTGAAGGTGGAGTGGGTGGATATGGAGATGTTCAGGGACAGAATTCGGTGGTGTGCATCCTAACTAGTAGAAGGTACAGCCGTAGTTCAAAATCCTATGTCTGTTGACGATATTGCCAGGACCATTATTTAGAACAGCTTCAGGAGTGGTAGTGGACCCTGGCCGTAGAAGATGTTACTTGTTATTTTAGGACAGAGTGCTCTACTGGCCTTTGGTAAGGCTGCAGCTAAAAGCCTGGGCACCTGGTGAAAGATCTTTAGTCTGGAGTTGCGGTTATGGTTTGGGGACAGCACTTGCAGTGCTTTCGAGAGAAAATAGCCATTAATTTCCAGGAAAGTGTTCAGGCCTTTTTTGGCAAGGGAATGATGGCTGCTTTGAAATCGAGTACAGAACTCGAGGCAATAATATAGGAACAATGGAGATGGAAGAGCCTGGAGAGGATACAAGCAAGATAAGGGAGAAACCAGTGAATGCATAGATTGAGAATGGAAAAATCTGGAAGGTGTTTGGATTTGGATGATGGGTAGGATGGGTTAATAGCTGAATGGGAGTCTATTTCTGTTTGCAAAGTTGTCTGAAGGCAATTGGTGGAGAAAGAGTTAACATTTAAATTTGCCCTCTCAGACATGAGGAAAGCAAGTATTTTAACAGGAAAGCCAGTCCTGATGTGGTTCAGCCAGATGGAAAGGAAAACCAACTTGCCTGATAATCAAGGCTTCCAAGCTTGGAAGGGAGAAAGTGAAGGAAGAATTATATTATGAGAAACTTGGGGACAGGTATATTAAAGAGAAATTTAGAGTGTGATTCAGAAAATCAGCAGTTATGTAATGTAGCTGTTGCCCAGTGGCTAGTCAATGTTGAGTTGTTTGCGCCCCTTCCCACCACCCTGGCCAATCGCAGAGAATTGACTGAACTGGAAGAGTCAAAGTGAATAATATTGGATGGGATAGTGGTTGGTGACATTAGTCCCCAGTGGATGCACTTGGCAAGAAGAATACTGGAAGTAAAGGTTGAGGCAGTGGGGTTGCTGTTTGTGTGGACTTGGTAATGGGTGCTTTATTGAGCTATAGAGAATGCAGAGTGAGACTCAAAGCAGTTTTGGGCTTGCTTGGCACAATACCAGGCATGGGGCTTTGGTAGGAGATTAGAAATGTAGAGGAATTTTGATGGGTTAGAGGTTAGATTGTTGGATGTGTAACATTGGAAGGCATTTCTGACAGAGAAAAAGTGTGGGAAGCATGATGAGGTAGTAAGAACTGCTCATGCTGGAGTCAGAGATAACAGTGTGGAGCTGGAGGAACACAGCAGGCTAGGCAGCATCAGAGGAGCAGGAAAGTTGACATTTCGGGTCAGGACCCCTCTGTAGAAAATGATATTTCGTTTTCTGCAGAAGGGTCCTGACCCGAAACGTCAACTTTCTTGCTCCTCTGATGCCACCTGGCCTGCTGTGTTCCTAAAGCTCCACACAGTGTTATATCTGGGAAGCATGATGATTTGCAGTATTTGTGCAGATTGTGGCCTTATGCAACATTCCAGGTCTTCTTTCTTTTCAGGTTTCAATGTGGAGACTCTAGAGTACAAGAATATTACCTTCACTGTATGGGATGTAGGCGGTCAGGATAAAATTCGCCCTTTGTGGAGGCACTACTTCCAAAACACACAGGTACATGAATGCTGGAACTTCTGGCATATCCTGTTATACTGAGCATTGTTTCACAATGGATAGTTCTCAACACAGCAGCCATTGTTTACCATTGCTGCAGACAAAGTGAATGTACTGGCCTGATAATTGAATGGGAAGGATAATATTTTGATGTGCTGGTTTTGTACATGAAATAATTTGAGACACTCAGTTGTATTTCCTTTAATATAACTAAACATTGAGTTGCATGTAAAATCAGAATTAATTTTCCTGAGTTGATCTGTTCCAGTAAATTTCCCATTAATGTTGAAGATGGTGCAAGTGTCCTATCCACATAAACATGTGCCTAGCCTGGTTAATTATCACACAATCTGCCCAAATGATAATTAAATGTGGGCCTTTTTAAGCTGATAACAGAAATATTGTAAGTTTAAAATAAGTTACATGTCTGTTGAATTATTATTTACACTAGTGACTATAATTGAGGATGTGTCAGGGACTTGCTGAACATAACATAAATTGAAAGTAATGAAGGAATAATGGCATTAAAGAGTGACAAATCACACAACCAGATGCCTTTGATCTTAAATTCTAAAGGATATGAATTAAGACATTTGCAGATGCTTGAACTATAATCTTCCAGTTCTCAAATCAGGAACTGTTCCTTTGAACTGGAAACTTATGCATGTGACTTCACGATTTAGATGAAAGAAGGAAAATCACAGAATTGTAAACTAGTTAATTAGCCTGACATCCATTGCTGGGAAATTTAATGTAAAATTAAGGATAAGGTGATTCATGAACTTAAAGTTTCAGCTGAACTAAATGAGCCACTATGGCTATGTAGCTGGTAGAACATGCCTGGCGAACCTGATTGGACCTTTTTGAAGAGGTGACTAAGGTGGTCAACAAGGAAATGTCTACGTATGTTCTTCATTTGCACTTCTAGAAGGCATTTGTAAAGAGCCTTTAAAACATTTCAGACACTTTACAGGAAATATGAAGCAAAATTTGATATCAAACCACATGCAGGTTTGGGCTGATAAGTGCTAAATGATCCTCAAGTTATTCAAGTGCCAGGCATTGACTATCTCCTACAAGAGAGAATCTAAACATCTCTCCTTAATATTGAAAATCATTGCTGAGTGCCCATGACTAACGTCCTGGGATTATTGAGATATTTCACAGAATGATTCATATAAATATATGAACACAAAAGCAGTCCAGAGGCTATGATGCAGTGAATAATCTACCCCCTCACTCAAAATCTGCACTATCTACAAGGCAAAGTCAAGAGTGTAATGGAATATGCCACTCTTGCTTGAATGAATGCAGCTGTAACTGCACACAAGAAGCTTGCCATGATTCAGGATGAAACAGCCCACTGCATCAGGTGCCCATACACCACCTTAAAAATTCACTCCTCTACTGAGTGCACACAGTATACACGATTCACTGCAACACCTCACGGCCGGTGATGGTGTTTCCATCTATCTGCTGCCCTTTGCCCTTCTAGATGGTAGTGGTTATGGATTTGGCAAGTGCTTTCTAAGAAGGCTAAGGTGAATTTCTGCAGTGCATCTTGGAGATGGTACACACTGCACTGCTGCTACTCAGTGTTGATGGTGGAGAGAGTGAATGTTTGTGGATCTGGTGCCAATCAAGAATGGTAGCTTGTCTTGGGTGTTGTGGAGTGTGTTTGGAGATGCACTCATTAAGTGGGCAGTATTTCGTTTTATTCCTGACCTGTGCCTTGTTGGTGAACAGGCTTTGAGAGTCAGGTGTGAGTTACTTGGTACAAGCTTCGTAGTCTCTGAGCTCCTCTTGTAGTAGCCACAATATAATGAGTCCAGTTCAGTTTCTGGTCAGTGGTGTGGGATTCAGTGATGGTGATAGCATTGAATATCAAAGGTAGATGATTAAATTCTCTCTTGTTGGAAGTGCTCATTACCTGGCACTTGTGTAATATGGATGTTGCTATGTTAGGAAAGTTTTGAGAAGTTATCAAGCCAGGAAAAAAAGAACTGTTCAGTTGGAATTTTGTATTTGTTCCATACTTTCTAATACAGCTGTTATCCTTCATGACATAAATTGTTCATCATTCTGCAGAACACACCTCACTTTAAATCGCTATAACACTATATTGGTTGTTTAATCTTTTCAGGGTCTGATTTTCGTTGTGGACAGCAATGACCAAGAGAGGGTGCAGGAATCTCTAGATGAACTGCAAAGAATGGTGAGAAATGGCAATGTTGGAGATTTGAGGGAAACCCAGGTTTTGTTGAAAGATTCTGAAATAGTGCCACCTTTTCCAGTTGTTTTTTTTTTCCAAATCAAATTTGTTATATCTGAACTTAGTGATGTCTGTCCTGAAGTAACTTGTGAGTAAAGTTGTCCAATGGATTTGTGTATTTTGTTCTTCATTCATCAACAATGTCTGGAAAAGGAAAATGCCAGTTTTATTTCTTTTTAACCACTTAGACTTAAATTTCAGAAGAAAACCCTTTACACCACCTCTCAGATATTTCAGTTACCATTTAGAGTTCCTGAAAATAATTTTTTGAAGATTCACCCACTTGCATAGGAAATAATTTCAAAAATGTTGATAATTGACAAAGACGTGTGAAATTCGGTCAACCTCTAAATCAGAATGATAACTCAAGTCTATTACAGGTTGCTGGTGATTGTCTCAGACCTCTATGTTACAATCAGAAATGCAATGAGGAGGCTGAATCTTTTTTTTTTAAGAACTTCCTGCAGTTTTCTTATTCTGTAACATTGAGGAGCAACTTGTCTGGGGGCTGGCGGTTGGGAGGAAGAACTCCACCTTGTGCTGTCATCTGTGGATGCACAATATCTACCAGAAAGGTCCCAAGTTGAAGTGCAAGACATCTGGTTTTCGTGAACTTACTGATCTCATCTGGTTCATCTGTTAAAGATATGGAAGTAAACCTGTATACCCTCCATTATAGAGAAAGGAAAATGAGTGAGAACATTGGTGATAGTTTCTATTTATGACACTTTATTTTGGAATCTAGGAAGCAGATTATTATACAGGTATTAGGCAAGAACTTTCAAAAGTGTTTGTAAGAGGCTATTCACAGGTAAAGGGATGGTTGGAAAGTGGGAGGCCTTCAAAAATGAGAGAGTGCCAGAGGCAGAATGTTCCTGTTGGTATGAAGGGCAAGGCTGGTAGGTGTAGGGAATGCTGGATAACTAGAGAAATTGACGTTATGGGCAAGAAAAGGGAGGCAGCATGTGACAGGTATATAACCTGGGACCAAGTGAATCCCTCAAGTATAAGGGCAGTAGGAGTATACTCAAGGGAAATCAGGAGGGCAAAAATTGGACATGAGATAGCTTTGGCAAATAGAGTTGAGGAGATTCCAAATAGAGTCTAAAAATACATTAAGGGCAAAAGAATAACTAGGGAGTGAATAGGGCCACTTAAAGGTCTTCAAGGCTGTCTGTGTGTGGAAGTGGATGAGATGGGTGAGACACTACACAAGTATTTTGCATCAGTTTTTACTGTGGAGAAGGATATGGAAGCTAGAGAACTTGGAGAAATAAATAGTAATATCTTGGAAAATGTCCATATTACAGAGGAGAAGGTGCTGTATGTCTTAAAACTCATAAAGGTGGATAAATCCCCAAGACCTGATTAGGTGTATCCCAGAACTTTGTGGGGAAAGTAGGGAAGTAATTGCTGGGCCCCTTGCTGAGATATTTGTATCATCGATCGCCACGGGTGAGATGCCAGAAGACTGGAGGTTGGCTAATGTGCCAGTTAAGAAAAAGCCAGGGAACAATAGCCCAGTGAGCCTGACATCAGTGGTGGGTAAGTTGTTGAATGGGATTCTGAGGGACAAGATTTACATGTATTTGGAAAGGCAAGGACTGATCAGGAATAGTCAACATGGCTTTGTGTGTGGGAAATCAAGTCTCACTAACCTGATTGTTAGTTTTCCAAGAAGATTGAAGGTAGAGTACTGGGCATGGTCTATATGGACTTCAGTAAGGCATTTGACAAGGTTCTGAATGGTAAACTGGTTAGCAAGGTTAGATCACATGGTATCCAGGAAAAGCTAACCATTTGGATACAAAATTGGCTCGAAGGTAGGAGACAGAAGGTGGCGGTGGAGGATTGCTTTTCAGACCAGAGGCCCATGACTAGTGTGCTGCAAGAATCGATTCTGGATCCACTGCTTTTTGTCATTTATATAAATGATTTGGATGTGAATATAGGAAGCATGGTTAGTAAGTTTGCAAATGAGATGAAGATTGTTGGTGTAGTGCACAGTGAAGAAGAGTGTCTCAGGGTACAACAGGACCTTGATCAGATGGAGTGCTGGGCCAAGGACTGGCAGATGGAGCTTAATTTGGTTAAATGTGAGATGTTGTATTTTGGAAAAGCAAATCAAGTCAGGACTCATACACTTAATGGTAGGGTCCTGGGGAGTACTGCTGAACAGAGAGTTTGAAGTGCAGGTTCATAGTTCCTTGAAAGTGGAGTCACAGATCTTCACTATCGTGGCTAAGGCATTTGGTATGCTTGCCTTTATTGGTGAATGCATTGAATATAGGAGTTGGGAGGTCATGTTGCGGCTGTACAGAACATTGGTGAGGCCTCTTTTGGAATACTGCGTTCAAATCTGGTCTCCATGCTGTAGGAAGATGTTAAACTTGAAAGGGTGCAGAAAAGATTTACAAGGAGGTTAATGGGTTTAAGCTATAAGGAGGGACTGAATAGGCTGGGGCAATTTTCCCTGGAGTGTTAGAGGCTGAGGGGTGACCTTTACAGAGGTTTATAAAATCATAAGGGGCATGGATAGGGTGACTAACCAAGGTATTTTTCCCAGGGTAGGGGAGTCCAAAACTAGAGGGCTTAGGTTTCAGGTGAGAGATTTAAGAGGGATTAAGGGGCAGTTTTTCCATGCAGAGGGTTGTACGTGTATGGAATGAGCTGCCAGAGGCAGTGGTGGAGGTTGGTGCAATTACAACATTTTAAAAGGCATCTGGATAGGTACATGAATATTAAGGGTTTACAGGGATAAATCCTTGATTGTAGGAAGGCTAATCAAAAATTGGTGGCTGGTGAATAGTGAGCAAGATATCCTGAGATTACAGGAGGATATAGATGGGCTGGTTAGTGACAAATGGAATTCAATCCAGATAAGTGAGGTAATGCACTTGAATTCATGAACAATAGGACCCTGGGGAGCATCTGGGATCATGATGTGCATGTCCCCTGGTCCCTTAATGTGGTAGATGGTGAGTTAAGAAGGCTGTGGGATACTTGCCTTTATTAACTGAGGCATTGGGTTTAAGAGCAGGGAGGTTATGCTGCATCTCTATAAAATATTGGTTAGGCCACAGCTAGAGTATTGTGTGCCATTCTGGAATCCACATTATTGGAGAGATGTGATAGCACTAGACAGGGTGCAGAGGAGATCAACCAGGATGTTGCCTGGTCTGGAGAGCTTTGTTTATGAAGAGAGATTGGATAAACTAGGTTCTGAGGAAGGGTCACGCAACCTGAATCGTTAACTCTGATATGCCTCCACAGATGTTGCCAGACCTGATGAGCTTTTCCAGCAATTTCTGTTTTTCTTTAGGATAAACTAGGGTTGTTTTCCTTAGAGCAGAGGAGACTGACGGGGAACATTAATTTTATACATTTTAATAATGAGGGGCATGACAGGTAAACAGTAACAGACATTTCCCCTTGGTGGAAGGATCAATAACCTGAGGGCATGGATTTAAGGTAAGGGTCAGGAGATTTAGACAGGAGATAAAGAAAATTTTTACACCAAAGTGGTAGGAGCCTGGAGCTCACTGCCTGCAAGGCTGTTAAGAGGCTGAAACTCTCATTACATTGATGTAGTTAGATGTACACTTGCAAGGCTATGGACCAAGTGGACAACAGGTTTTCTATAGTTAGATGCATATTTTTGAAGTGTTCTGAAGAGAAATCATATGGACTCGATGTTGATTGTTTCTCACTCCACAGCTGCTGCCAAATCTGAGTTTATCGAGCATGCTCTGTTTTCATTCAGACTTACGACATCAGCAGTATTCGCTTTTATCCTTTACCTAGCTTCCTATTCGTCTTGAATGTCAGATACCCTTCAATATCTATCCCAACCCTGTCATCCTGCAGTCGCATCTCTGTAATGACTATCAGTATTTATATACTTTGAATGACATGTGCATTCACATACAGGGCCATTGGAAATGAAATTAAATGGATGATTTTATTGTCACGTGTATTTTACTGAAAAATGCAGTGAAATAGTGAAAAACTTTCACTGTGGTCATGATTGGTGCCATTTTGAATAGTTTAAGAATAATAAAAATTTAAGATTAGCTTAAAGAGAGTCGATTATCCTTCTGCCGTTTGTTCTGTGTTTCTGTTATCATTGTAACGTCTAGTCTTTCTTTAAACTCTGCTGTTTGATGTACCATAATTTCCCACATTGAGGTTCTGAAACAGGCTAGTATTCCAAAGCAATAAATTGATGTCATTAATAAAATTGGCAGTTCTAATTGTGAATCAGTACAACTGACTGACTTCCTTTTTTGTGTTAGGAAGCAGAGCTAGAGAAAAACAGGCCCCATGTCCTGACCATCAGGGGTGCCTAGCTAAGGAGTTGAATTAACACTGAACAAAAACAGAAGTTGCTGGAAAAGCTCAGCAGGTCTGGCAGCATCAGGAAAGAAAAATCACAGTTAATGTTTTGGGTCCGGTGATCCTTCCTCAGAACTGGTCACCAGACCCAAAATGTTAACTCTGATTTTTCTTCACAGATGCTGCCAGACCTGCTGAGCTTCTCCAGCAACTTCTGACTTGTTCCTAATTTACAGTATCTGCAGTCCTTTCAGTTTTTAATTAACACTGACCTTGGTTTGCCCCTGATGGAGCACACACTCAGCTGATCTTTAAAGGACTAACGTGGAAGTGAAAGCCTGTTTGGTGAATGATGGCTCATTCACAGCCAGAACCCCCAGTCAGTCACTTAGTCCAATCACCTCCCTGGCCCCCCAACCATACTGTCTCTTACTGACACTCCCCTTGTGGCACCGTCTCACTCCTTTTCATTCATTGTCAGCATGACCCACTTTCACCCTGTCAACAGCCCAGCAGACTTTAATTCCCTAGAGCATGACTACCCTTTCCCTCTTCTCTGAAAGCCACCCAGTCCACTGTTCCAAGCCTCTGAGTTTTGTTGCTCATCTCCTTCAATCAGAAGCCAGTTCTTATGCACATTTGCTTTGAATAGGGTCATTTTTCAAGGACTGCAACTTCCCCCAACTCAGTGGTCGAGAACGCCCTCGACTGTGTCTCCTGCATTTCCCGCAACTCATCCCTCACACCCCCTCCCCGCAATAACAACCAAAACAGAATCCCCCTCGTCCTCATGTACCACCCCACCAACCTCCGGATCCAACGCTTCATCCTCCGACACTTCCGCCATCTGCAATCCGACCCCACCACCAAAGACATCTTTCCCTCCCCACCCTTATCTGCTTTCCGGAGGGACCACTCTCTCCAGGACTCCCTTGTCCGCTCCACACTCCCCTCCAGCCCCACCACACCCAGCACTTTTCCCTGCAACCGCAGGAAGTGCTACACCTGCCCCTACACCTCCCCCCTCACCCCCATCCTAGGCCCCAAGAAGACTTTCCACATCAAGCAGATGTTCACCTGCACATCTGCTAATGTGGTATACTGCATCCGCTGTTCCCGTTGTGGCCTCCTCTACATCAGGGAAACCAAGCGGAGGCTTGGGGACCATTTTGCAGAACACCTACGCTCGGTTCGCACTAAACAACTGCACCTCCCAGTCGCGAACCATTTCAACTCCCCCTCCCATTCCTCAGATGACATGTCCATCCTGGGCCTCCTGCAGTGCCACAACGATACCCGAAGGTTGCAGGAACAGCACCTCGTATTCCGCTTGGGAACCCTGCAGCCCAATGGTATCAATGTGGATTTCACAAGCTTCAAAATCTCCCCTCCCTCTACCGCATCCCAAAACCAGCCCAGCTTGTCCCTGCCTCCCTAACCTGTTCTTCCTCCCACCTATCCCCTCTGCCCACCTCAAGCCCCACCCCCATCTCCTACCTACTAGCCTCATCCCGCCCCCTTGACCTGTCCGTCCTCCCTGGACTGACCTATCCCCTCCCTAACTTCCCACCTACACTCACCTTTACTGGCTCCATCCCCGCCTCTTTGACTTGTCTGTCTCCTCTCCACCTATCTTCTCCTCTATCCATCTTCTATCTGCCTCCCCCTCTCTCCCTATTTATTTCAGAACCCCCTTCCCCTCCCCCATTTCTGAAGAAGGGTCTTGGCCCAAAATGTCAGCCTTCCTACTCCTCTGATGCTGCTTGGCCTGCTGTGTTCATCCAACTCTGCACCTTGTTATCATCAGAGAGTCAGTTGGAAGCATTTGCAGGACCCATCCAGCAACTCCCTTCAAAACCATCATTTTTTTGTTTTGAATAATGGCGTTGCAGGCTATATTGTTGTTCTGAGGCCAGTTTTTCAGCAGGTCTGTTGTAAAGTATTTGAAAAAGAGTCTGAGTTTGCGATTTCATTTGTGTGATGTGTTCTTAAACTCTTGCATCTATTAGTTCTAACACTGCAACAATGTACTTTAAAGTTGATTTATGTGATTACTGAGCTCATTCTATTTGTACTTTGCTCTTTGTTCCTAGCTGAATGAAGATGAGCTGAGAGATGCAGTGGTGTTAATATTTGCAAACAAGCAGGATTTGCCAAATGCTATGTCAGTTGAAGACCTCCGTGCGAAGCTGGAACCACTGACCATCCGCAGAACTGTAAGAAATTTGTATTTCTGCAGAATGTACACCCCATGATTAGCTAAATTGCCCATAGTGTTCAGGGATGTGTAGATTAGGTGGGATTCTGAGGGTCGGTGTGGACTTGTTGGGCTGAAGGGCCTGTTTCCACACTGTAAGGATTCTATGGAATGCTGCCAGGCTAACTTTACCAAATTGATTTGTCCAATCAATATGGTAATTAAAGTCACCCATGATGGTGTTTGCAGTTCATTTCTTGCACAAACCCCTATAATTTCTTCAATTGCTATTCCTGCTGATAGTGGTGCCTATTAATCAATCCCACCAATGACTTTCCTTTGTTATTTCTTATCTCCACCCTGACTGATTCTACTCCTTGATCTTCTGGATCAAAAGCAGTTCTCTGTTGTACTGACCTCATTCTTAAAAAACCTCTCTTCCGCATTTACATTTCCTCGTTCCTGTGTAAAGTGCCATGACTATCCCTTGAATAGTTAGCTCCTTGTCTTAGCAATTACAGAAATATGATTGTGAGGTGACTATTGTACCCATTATTTCAACTATGCATTCATTTAAAGAGTTTTAAAATGTGTTCTCTTTTGGTTTTTCTGTACTCTGACCTTTATTTAGTGGTGCACACTTCTGTTTCTGTCACATTCTGGTTATCTTTGTCTGGATTGTTCCCCTGCCCTATTACCTTATCCTTCCTCTTGAATGTTCTAAATCCATTACCCAACCAACCCCCACACCCCAATGTCCTCTGTACAGCCCTAGTTGTGCAGTTCCCTAGTACTGATGCCACTGCCCTATGAATCAAAATCCATTCCTCCAGCACCAATCTTTAAGTCATATATTCAACACTCTGATCTTATTTACTCAATGCCAATTTGTTTGTGGTTTTGGTAGAAATCCAGAGACTCTAGTCTTTGTGCTCAATTCCAGGGCATAATCTTTCTTCCTTGGTCCTAATTCTGTCTTGTAACTTGCGTAGACCTCAACAATGCAATCCTTCTATAATGCAAGTTCCTCTTCAGTCCTGAGATGTCCTTAATCCTGTAATAGGGCAGACAACAGAGCCTTTGAGACTCTCACCCTTTGCTGTAATGAACCTTACCTATTCCGCAACTATACTATCCTTTAATATAACTACGCTCCTTTCAACTTCCCTCCTCCAAGTTAAATGGCTGCCTTCACCCTAGTGCCATGGTCAACTTGCTCAGCCTTCCTACATTTATCAAAAACTGTCCCCATGTATAGAAAAGGAAAAACCTTAAAATTCTCAAACTAACCTTCGTGCTCAGTTCAAAGTCTCTGAGCTTCAGTTTGCTAATCCCATTACTGATTCCACTTTCCTGTCATAGCACTCTTTTGTTAAGATCAGCACAGTGCTGCCTCTTTCACTTCGGCAGGATCGCCCCTGGACGCCCTCCTATTCTTCCTCTACAGCTGCCCCTCTGACGTCATCCAAAAATACAGCTTACAAGCATAGAACCTCATCGCCAGACCCCTTGACATTCTCCATAGTTACTAAATTGTCAGACTGCTTATCTGACAATCAGCTGAACACACAATTCCTGCAATTGACTACTGGGGAGGCTGAAGCTATTGCTTTTGGTCCCTGCTCCAAACTCCTCTTAGTTTAACAGCTCCTTCCTTATCCCTTCTGACAGCCTCATTAAACAAGTCAGTTCACAGTCTTGGTGAAATATTTGGATGTTTCCAAACAGACATCTGCACCATTACAGAGTACCCTGCTGCCCTGCCCCCAGTTCAACTGCTGCTGAAACTCTTGTCTGTTTCTTTGTCATTCTCTTGTACTTGATTATTCCAACATGTTCTTTGCCTTTCTCCTAAACTTGAGGAAATCTAAAACCCAATTCACTGAGGTGTGTTAAAAACAATAATAGGATAATTATATTGGGAAATTTTAACTTCTCCAAACATTAATTGGGATAGTCATAGTGTGAAGGGATTAGAGGGACCAGATTTCTTGAAATGTCTTTCGGGAGAGCTTTTTATGTCAACATGTAGAAGGTCCCACAAAGGAGGGTACAGTGTGGAACTAATTCTGGGGAATGAAGCTGGACAGGTGTTCAAAGTGGCAGCTGGGGAGAATTTTAGTCCTAGTGACCACAATAGTGAAAGCTTGTTCTGGAAAAGGACAGAGTCTGCAAAAGAGAATTTTGGATTGGAGGGGAGGGTGGGGAAAAGGTAGGTTTTATTAAAATAAGGCAGGAACTGCCTTAAGTAAACTAGTTTTCTTGTGTCCTCTCTTTGCCCTCCTAGTTGGTTTAAGTTCACCTTGTGTTTTCTATGCTCCACTAGAGGTTCTGTTGATTTGCTTCCTTGTATCTATTCCTTTTTGTCCAGTCCTGAATATTCCTAGATATCCAGGGTTATTTGCAGTGTTGTTCCTACATTTCACCCTAAAGAGAACATGTTGGGCCTGTAGTCTCCCCAGTTTTATTTTGAACGGCTCCCACTGTTCTACTGTAGATTCACCCAGATGGATTTTGTGACAACTGATGACTGTTTCATGATCACCATTACTGGAGACTAGTTTACAATTCCAGCATCAACTAAATTGAAATTTCACCAGCTGCCATGATGAGATTTGATCTCAGATTACACCTGGGCCTCTGGATTACTAGCCACAACTATACCACTGTCTCCCTGTGCATGTTCTAATCGTTCACAGGATTGTCACCAAATTTAAAATAGTGGACAGTGGGTAATTTCATTCCATTACCTACTGTCACATGGTCACTTAAGATAAGTTAAAGCTTTTGTCTGGCCTTCTGTGAAAGAATCAGATGAAATGAGAGAAATACTGTTTTACAAACACATTAAATCAAGCTAGAAATAAATTGGTGTCTGGCAATAACAAGATCCATTCCTGTTTTGAGTCTTATTTCGTAGCTAAGATTGATGTTAATTTCTCTCCCTTTTTTGCAGTTGCACATCCAGCCAACGTGTGCCACTACTGGCATAGGTCTCTATGAAGGACTAGATTGGTTGTCCCAGAAGCTGACCAATAACTAGAAGAACCAGGTTCATCCGCTATCCTGCCTACATTGGTGTATCAACTGCTATGACTTGAACTCAAGGACTTTTATCAATGGCTTCCCAACTCTTACGTTCTCTCCTTTTTTTTATTTTGCTTTATCTCATGCTTGTCAACATGCAGGTGCATTTTTAAAATTTAAATCAGAACTTGGGTAGGAGTGATCTCCTCATTCAATAATGGATGGATGCCCCTTGCCAAGACCAGTTCAAGGACTTTATAGCACTCTGTAGTCACTCACTAGATGCTTATTCGTGAGCATCAAAGTTCTGAGACCTCTGCATCCAGCTCCCAACTTAGGACAATTTGAATTTCAGAAGTTACTAACAACTGGATGAACCATCTGTGCACAGCATCTTGCTGTTTGTTTAATCTGCTGATTATAGACCATGGAGTATTTTAAATGGTTTCACAGCCATCATTTAAACATGAGGATTCTAATGAAGGAAGAGGTTTTTTAAGATGTAACATGATGCTTTCTAATGCAGTGGATGCTAAATCAGATGGAAGAGCTGTAATTAATGACCATGACTGTTTTCATACATTCTCTAGTAGCTTTTAAACTACCAAGTGTAAGATGACGAGACTCAAGCAAATCTTCATTTTTCACAGTGACTCTTAATAAATTGCAGCTGACTGGTAACCAATTTTTTTTCTATTTACCTTTACTCATCTTGCACAAAGCTGCTTTATACCTTCAAGCTTTAAGTGACCACTTAATTTTCCCTCAACCTTTTGGTGATTGGTTTATGTCTCCTCCCCCTATGAGAGGATTCCTGCATTGATGTTTCTCCCATCATTGCCAAAAGGGTCACTCTAATGAGGTCTGATTTGAAGTCACTGCTGTGCAGATCCAGATAGGAAATGCCTTTTGAAAGAATTACATTACTTTAGATGACAAGAATTTATACATTTTATTTTGTAGCAGTGTTTTTTTTTTTCAGTTTAGGAATAAACTATCAAGTTACAAAGGGCACTGGTTTGCTGTTTTAATATATCAAGGGTAAATCAATTTCCACAACTGTACAAACAATTTAGTTGTCTTGAAACTTTAAAAATACTGTATGCATGGGGTATTTACCTTGTCCTGTATTGTATTTGTGCTAATATTATGGGGAATTCTCAACTTCCCCTTGTTACTGTAATGTATATTGCATTCCTGATAACTGGTGTTGTTATTCACAGTATATCAGTGAGCTGAAGCAAACAATATTGAACGTAACCAAAGGCTTCTTTCTGGAAAAAATTGAGTCAAACTTAATAAAGGCCTTTTCAGAAATATTGTTTAATTTGTCCATGCTTTGTAACTTGTTCATTTCGTGCAATGATTCAGTGTCTTAGGAACAACTCAAGGGACAATGTGTAGTAGTCTTCAACATGGTAACATTGTATCATGACAGTTCTGGCAGAGATTACAAGTTGAAGATCCTAACATGATTTTCCAATAAGTCGGCACTGAATTCTGAAACCTGTCTGAGATGATTCTCAGCTCCTGTCTGGATGCTAAAGATTCTTGGGACTAGTTTATTCCTTTGAGACGATGTTGCATTTGTCACATTTTGGCAATAATCAGTTTAGGTGTGCTGTGGTTAGGTCAGTGAGATAGTAAACTAAACCATTGCTTCAGAAAAGATAAATCCTTCCCGAAAAAGGTACAAAAGTTCACTTGTTCCTTGGCATTCCCATACACACCCTTCCATACCCACCTACCTATGTGTAGGCACACCCCCATGCATTTGTACAAAATCTTTTCTTAAACACAGGAGCCAATGCATTTTACAAAGTCCACTGGATATAATGTTGGTTGTAATGGAACAGCAACCAATTTTTTTTTAAACACTTCTAGCAACCAGCAATGTGTTAAGCTTCAGAATTTGTTTCATTAATGGTGGTCAAGGGAAAAATATTGGCTGTAACATGAAGACAATTATTTCAAAATAGTGCCACAGTGCTTTTAGATGCACCTGGGAAAATCAGAAGGCATTCCAGTTAAATGACATATGTTAGCGCTTATTTCTCTTGTATTGCACTGGAGTGTGAAGTTACTATTGGAAGTGCCAGCTTTTGCTAAACCTAGGCCCCCAATAGGTGGGCACGAGATCCATAGCACTGCTTTAAAAAGTACAAGAGCGTTATCTTGGTATCTTAACAGGAAAATGACCAGGTCATTGTCATAGTACACAAATTGGTTTCCATATTGCCTATATTACATCAGTGACCATACAGTGACTTAATTAGCTGTCAAGTATTCATATGTCTGGCAATCATGAAAGTCTTTGTTTAAACCGGTGGGGTGATTGAATTTTTTTTTTCCCTCAAAGACAACAGTGCTACTAACTGAGCGATGATCTTTAAGGAGGTTCCAAAAGTAATATTTTAATATTTTATTACATTTCAGTTATCCCTTTGTCTAAGCACAATACAGGACTCTGTGTGGAGACCACAATGTTCAGACTAAAGAAATCCCAAATTCTACATGGTTACTTTATTTTACAATCTGAACTTATCCATCTTTATACAGGAATTGAGACTATGTACAAAGAATTATCTTCATATTTCAAATAAAAGCATTTTCAAAGTTTAAAAGCTTGGCAAAAGTAAAATGGATTTAATGTGGACCAGATGAAAAAGCCCTGAACAGAGGATTTTAGGAATCCAAAATGAAAGGCTCAATTTACCACAATTTCTGCAAATAAAACAAGAAACTGCTTTGCTTGCCCTACCTTCTGGCTGTCAGATCCCCGAAATCATACTTGCATTGAACAAGGACCCCGCAACGATCACTGGGATCACCAGTTGTGTACTGTTTTTTGCTGTTCATCAGTTGGTCAAGTAGCTACAGTTTTCTCTGAATATCATCAGTAAACTCCAGAGAAAGGGAGCTACAGGCAAAATTTTTCCAACTCACGAAAAGTGAAGAAAGTTACTTGTTTGTTCAAATAATCCTCATCAGCATTTCTGCCATTGGGGATGCTCCCAATTCAGATTATCTGGGCATGACTGAAGGCATGCATTTTGGGGAAAATGTTGATTGTACTTAACGGAAATCAAGAATGGAAGCTGCTGGAGGAAAATATGTTACAATAATGATAATGGTTCCTCCATAAAGTGGCTGATCATTGTTACAAAGTAGTGAACCTTCTAGCATGCCATATTGGTCAGTGGATTCATAATTGGCCTCAATCGTTTTACCACGTTCATAGGTCTGACATTGTTCTATCAGGTACCATACAATGTAGGACAGCTATGGAAACTAGATAGGTTCATGTAAATGCTGGGTGTATTGCCCTTTCACACCAGGACTGGAGTCTCAATCCCATCTGGTCTTTCCCCTCAGCCTCCTATAGAGGTCTTAAACAAAATGGGATTCCTAAGTCCAGTACCAGCTGGACACAGTTCACATCAAAATAAAATTTTACAATAACCAAGGTAGCCTCAAAAAGCTGACGTTTGAAAAGACAATGTGGCATTAGAACAGAATGTAAGTCATAGGAAATCTCAGCTTGAGTTGAAGCATGTTATTGTAAAACTGTGGAATAAGCATTATTTTGTATGTAGCCTGCATTGAACTTGGCCTGGGAATGTTTGATGGGACAGTGTAGCAGCAGCTTTACTTTGTACCTAACCTATGATAATGGTCCTGGATAGGCTGGATGATGTCACAGAAATAAAATGCATTCCCTCCCACTGAATCATAGAGTCCCTACAGTGTGGAAGCAGGTTATTTGGCCTGTTGAGTCCACACCAACCCTTCAAAGAGCATCCCACCCAGACCCAGACCCACCCCCCTACCCTATCCCTGTAACCCTATATTTCTCATGGCTAGCCAACCTCGCTTGCACATCACTGAACACTATGGACAATTTAGCATGATCAAACTACCTAACCTGCACATCTTTGGACTGTGGGACAAAACTGGAGTCTCAACCCAGAGGAAGCCCACGTAGACATGGACAGAATGTGCAAACTCCACACTGTTACCAACAGTGGAATCAAACCCAGGTCTCTGGCTCTGTGAGGCAGTAGTGCTAACCACTGAGCCACAGTGCCACCCACTGACAAACATTTAATGCAAAAAAAGGTTGCTTTTCCAGTGGCACTTATTAGGATAAGTATTTACTACAGAATAGTGGAACTCAGGATCCTTCTCCATTTCAGGCATTCACAGTACTGACCTATGGGCACCCACGGGGGCTGTTAAGCAAGGATTGGTTTGAAAGCCTCGTGATGTTGCTCAGACCCCTATCATTTAATGAAGGTGTAGACAGGTTACAGGGGTAGATTTGAAAATCTCGTGAATTCTAACAAAAAAAGTAAGTGCTTAGAAATAGACATCAGCTCTGAATCTACTCTCCTGAGCAGCCTTGTATGTGGTGACATGGTTTCATTTCTGGACGAACCCCTAGTTTATTTAAGCAACACAAATCACAAGCAACAGTTCAAACAGCAAATTGCTGTGTGATAAGATTGAGCAAATCCTCCTGCCTTCATTCTACATTCCAATCCTTTCAATAGAGCGCGGCAGCCACTTTTTTTGATTGACAACTATGGTGCAGAACAATGTACATCCCTAAAAGAATGTGGATCAGAGGAGTAAATACTGAGCTGTGGCTAGAACTTGATGTTGAGAGATCTGGAAGGCAAGAATGGTGCATGGTTGCCTCACATGCAGCAGATTGGTTAGGCCATTTCACATAGCGGGTGCAAGTACACGAGCACTGAGAATAACGCAAAGATCAACTGCTAGGTAGACCCACAGATACTAAAAGCTGGCACAGTCTGTATGAAACAACAAATGCAGTGGCAGTGAGTGAAACAAGGTCTAAGAGGAGCAGGCTTTTCTGCAGCAATCTGCTGAGGCCCATTAACATCAAGCAAAGTGGCACTTTCATGCTCTCCACCAAGCCACCCACTCTAAAAAGCACTCTAGAACAGAGGAGATTTCATTCTCACATTGCTCAGCTCTTTTAGACTATACAGTTCATTCAAAAACAAAATGGAGAGAAAATCACTTTTTTTGAACAGTAAGTGTCCTTGCCTACGTGCTTCATATCAGAAAGATTAAATATTCAGCTGAGTTTTAAAGGCATTGCCTTAAGCAACAATACATCTCAAACCTGGCAGGATCTGAAATAATGAGGCCCCTCAACATCACTTGAGCCTCTCCTCATGGCTAGTTTGGATACACCAGGCATGTTTAAGGGTAAATCTTAGTAGCAAACAGGTGGAAATGAGTATACGCAACAGGGATCTGACAACACAGGGACTAAAGGCAACAATGCAAAACTCGGGATACTGTAAAACAGGACAATGAGACAGAAAAAGTACAAGCTGCAAAATTTACACCATGTTTCAAAACAAAGGCAAAGGGTGATTTGGACAGACAGTGAATAAACGACAGCAAGAGAAAGCATGAGTTTGTGAAATAGATTCTAGCAATATTTTAAATTGACGACAATATTAACAATAAACAACAGGATAAGATGTCTTCATTGTTTGTAACCTGAAACCATACATTAAGTTAACCCCAACATACCTGAATGCAATCTTGACCCCTCAGTCTGAGTCACAGGAGCAAATGCCCAACAATTTGAATTCATCCATAAAATATGGACTTTTGTATTTGGGACAGATTTCTCCTGAGACATATAGGATTTTGTATGCTAAAGATGTGACTGAAGTTCTACATATTGTAGCATGGGATGGGTTTTCTCTTGACCATGACCACCACCACCACCACATCCCATTCCCACCAAAACTTGGACCTCTAGAATTAGTGCAAGTCTCTGCTTCCTGTTGCCCTAGCACCCTTCAGCTGTCCAAGATTGAGCATTAACTGCAGTGTGTTGGTGATAGATATAATATTGAGACACCCCTCAGTGTACCACTGGCTCAATTACATTGCTTTTGTTCAAATTGATAACAAGTACATGTGGATACACAACAATTTGTAAATATCATCTGACCTGTACACCGATATCTAGGAAGCTGTTGCATAAATAGAACAAGAATTAAACTATGTACAGCTGTACAGCACTAAACAGCAGAATTAAAGAAACAACACTGTTAAAATAACCTCTCAGCTGTGTTGTTTCCGTGCAGCTGCCCATGAGAGCTGGAGGACACCACCCCTACTCCTGCTCAGCTATTCCTTCTTGCCTTCCTTCTCAATGTGACCCAATGGAAGGTAAATTGGGAGTGGGCAATCTGGGAAAGATATGGGTCAGACCTGCCCCACTACACATATCCAGCACAGCTGTCTCTGTAAACACAGTGAGC